CTCCTTTCGACCCAGCTAATAAAGGCGTGACGGTGCGGCAGTGGATATTCGCCATGAATATCTACTTTAACGCGGCGGGCATCCGAGACGACCAGAAGCGGATCAGCCACGCGTTGACACTGCTGCAAGGGGCCGCTCTACAGTGGTGGAAGGTCATCGTCGACTCAGCGGCAACTCGCACAGAAGGACAGCATGAGTGGTCCGAAGAATTCGGCGACGAAGACGAGGCAGATTTGCTGTTTGGTGCAACTCACATTCGCACGTGGGCAACGTGGTGCGCAGAGCTTCGCAAGCGGTTTGAGCATGCTCCTGACTCAGACAAAGCGCGCGAAACTTAACGCATGTGGAAGCAGCTGAGATCTGTGTCCGACTACACCGCGTCATTCTTGACGTTGGTGGATCGATGTGGCTACATGCAAGAGTTGGAGAAGGTCGACAGGTACATGGGCGGGCTGAAGCCTGAAATACAGTACCAGATAAAATTACAACGACCTGCAAAACGGTTACAAGACTTCATCCAACTCGCCGAAGCCGCTGATTCGCTCACGAAGCCGAGGACGAACTTCTACGACGGAGGTCGCCCTCGAGAACAGTACCAGCGCACCACGATAAAAGGGATGGACGCAGTGGACATTTACGCAGTTGCTCTGCGAAATACGGGGCTATGCTACCACTGTGGCCGACCGGGTCACATCAAACGCAACTGCCAAGAGTCCATAGCCATCCAGATTTCTATGGGGAAGAAGCCGGAGGAGCGACCGGGAAATGGGTCGCGTCAGTAAGTACCGGGCCCCTTACTGACGGGCAGGCTTCCTCGCCCGAACCACATAGTCCCCACCGGGTCGTGATCCCGATTGCTGCAATCGACCGGACCCGGACGAATAAGGGGGACGAAACTGCTGACCACCCTGTGTTGGTGGAGGGTAAAGTCAACGGGGTGTTGCTGAAAATATTCGTGGATGGAGGCGCGAGTCACAGTCTCATACAGCTCGACAGGGCTAAGAAAATGGGTATCCCTTTATTAAAGTGTCTACCCGAAATCGACGCAAGATTGGTCGACGGTACACCGTTGGCTATACGGGAGCGGGTGGAGCACGTCAGTTTCCACTGCGGCGAGCACGTAAAATTTCGGATGGGGCTGCTGGCGGCTACACTCGACGGATGCGACGTGCTGCTGGGACGGGACTGGCTGCGACAGTACAACCCGAGAATCGACTGGACGACGGGCAGCTGCAGCATCAAGATCGATGGGCACTATCACGAATTACCGAAATGGATGGGACCCCGCATGCGAAGCACCCAAGTCCACGCGATCACCTTCAAGCGCGCGATAAAAGCGGGAGCAGCAGCATACGCCATCGATCTTCGCGAAGTGACGTCGCCGATAACAGCGGAAGATATCACGAAGCTGTGTGAAGCCGTCCCTCCGGATTTAGCGGAACTCATTCGAAGATACCCCGAGATTTTCCCGGACGACCTACCCGCCGGACTTCCCCCAAGCCGACCCGAAGACCACCGCATCGAACTAAAACCAGGCGCACAACCGACAGTACAGCGACAATTTCGGCTCAGCCAACCGGAACTCGAGGAATTACAGCAGCAGTTGGATTACCTCCTGACGAAAGGTTTTATCCGACCAAGCACATCCCCATACGCCGCCCCCATACTGTTCACACCGAAAAAAGATGGCGGATTCCGTATGTGCATCGACTACCGCGCACTGAACCGCATCACCATCAAGTCCCGTTACCCGATCCCGCGAGCCGACGACCTACTCGACCAACTTCGTGGAGCCAAATTCTTCTCGAAAATCGATCTGCGCGGAGGTTACCACCAGATTCGCGTCGCCACCGAGGATTGCCACAAGACCGCCTTCCGAACCCGCTACGGTAGTTACGAATACTTGGTGATGCCTTTTGGGCTCACGAACGCGCCCTCGACTTTTCAGATGACCATGAACGGTGTTTTCCGCGAACTCCTGGATAAATGCGTAATTATCTACCTCGACGACATCCTAATCTACAGCCGCAGCAGGGAGCAGCACTTAAAGGATCTTGATGCGGTCTTCACGCTGCTGCACAAGAATCGGCTCATCACAAAAGGGTCTAAGTGCGATTTCCTTAAGCAAGAGTTGGAGTTTTTGGGGCACGTCGTCTCCACCGAAGGCGTGAAAATCGACCCCAGGAAAATCAAGACCATACAGGAATGGAAGCCGCCGACCAACCTCAAGGAACTCCAAAGTTTTCAGGGTTTTGTCAACTACGTCCGCCGCTTTATCCCCAATATGGCAGGGTTATCTGCACCACTAACGGACCGATTGAAGGATCGCGATTGTTTTTGGTGGGGTGAGAAGCAGCAAGCTGCATTCGACCAACTCAAAATCGCCCTCACGTCCCCGCCCGTACTTCGCATCTCCGATCCCAACCGTCCATACGAAGTCGTCACCGACGCCAGCGACATCGCCATCGGTGCAGTTCTACTACAGGATTTCGGCGACGGGTTACAACCGGTCGCCTACGAATCACGGAAGCTGCAAGGCGCGGAGAAAAACTATACAGTGCACGACAAGGAGATGCTGGCGATCGTCCACGCGTTTAAGACCTGGCGGTGCTACCTGACCGGAGCTGACGTCACGGTGCGGACGGACCACAAATCCTTACAGTACCTGCGCGCCCAACCGAATCTCAACCCACGACAGATTTGATGGCTCGATTTCCTCGAGTCCAACTTCCACTACACCATCACCTACAAACGAGGTGCCAATAATATCGCCGATGCCTTGACCCGCCCTACAGTCCATACCGCCGCGATACTAATCGCCCAGACCAACCCATTACTTACGGGACTATTCACCCACGGCTACAAGATTGATCCCTTTTTCCGCTCAGCCATCCATCAACAGCATACCACAGCCACCGGGCCATATTTTTATAAGCATGGCACTTCTCGCATTTGGGTACCCGGCTACGATTTACTTCGTACCCTCCTAATCCAGGAATCCCACGACAACCCTACCTCAGGACATTTCGGCGTCGATAAAACCACGAAGATGTTGCAGCGGAATTATTACTGGCCGAACATGGCCGATGACGTGCGCAAGTACGTGTCCTCCTGCACTGCCTGCCAGATCATGAAATCGTCGCATCAGCGAGCAGCCGGACTACTACAGCCGTTGGATCCACCCGAGCGACCCTGGCAACACGTCACGATGGACTACGTGACAGGACTGCCGGCCGGCCCCAGCGGAAACGACGCCATCCTCGTGGTCGTTGACCGACTCACAAAAATGGCGCACTTCATCGCCTGCCAAGAGACAATCACTGCCGAACAAACTGCGCAACTGTTCATCGCGAACGTCATCCGACTACACGGACTACCCTCCGCCATCATTTCGGACCGCGACCCAAAATTCACATCGAATTTCTGGCGCCACCTGTGGGACCAGTTCGGAACCAAACTCCAATTTTCATCCGCCTACCACCCACAAACCGACGGGCAGACCGAACGCGTTAACCAAACCATGGAGCAGCTCATTCGCACTACCTGTACTGACCCCTCGACATGGGAGAAATCTCTACCGCTACTCAAATTCGCGTATAATAACGCGACCTCAGCTACAACCAATCACTCCCCATTTTTCCTCAACTACGGACAGGACCCGGTAGTACCCTCTACACCGAACATCGAGTCACCAGTGCCCCGGTCCCAGAAATTTGCTGAAGACATTCTCGCCACTCGCGAAAAAGCAGCTGAGGCCATTCGGAAAGCTAACCTAGTTGCAAGCCGACAAGCCGATCGACATCGACGCGACGTCATTTACAAAGTGGGCGATCTGGTCCTCCTCGACACCCGCAATTTGCGGCTGCCGATCCCGAGCAAACTCCGACCAAGATTCTGCGGACCTTTTCAAGTGACCAACCTCGTGACACCTGTCACTGTACATCTTCGGCTACCGGCTGATTGGCGCCATCACCCGGCTTTTCACGTCAGTCTTCTCCGACCCTACGTCCCGAGTTCATCGGACTTGGCACGCAACCGTGGAGTACCGCAACTGACGCCTCTGCAGGAACCGTCGACCGAGCCCTTGAAAATTCTCGGCCATCGCATCACCACGCAGCTGAACCGTCAGATGGTTGATTTCCTCATCCGCTGGCGCGATCGCACGTCCGAAGACGACAGTTGGGTGCCCCTCGCTGACCTAGAATCACATCCGATTCTAACGGCATATTACCAGCGTCGGCATGTCCCCGATGCCCAGGGCTTCGTTTAAGAGGGGGGGGTAGTGTAAGGAATTTCCATTCCTTACTGAGTCGGCCGCTACCGCGTACACCCGAACACTTCGACTCGTCACGTTCGGCCTACATTTTCGGCCCAACCCTTTCTCGAGTCGCGCCCGACAGCGTCGCCACATTGCCGAACCTAACCACGTCCCGAGGTTATCGCCCTATTACGTCCACTCCTATATAACCTCGTGCTTTCATGGCAATAGTGACATTGTATTCTCACGTTCTAGTACATTGACATTTTCTAAATCATAACACGTCGCTAGCGAAGAACCTAGCCCCGCTACGCCGATTGGCCCTCATTTTGTTAAGCGCGCATCGCGCGGTTTCGCATGGCGGGACCCCGTTACCCGCTCCTATGTCTGTGCTTGGTGCTGTCCTTTCAAACTGTACCCTTCATTTCGGAGCTGTTGCCAAATCGGCATCATTTTCAAAATCGATTCACATTGCGTACCATCAAAAGGCTCCGCGTGTCAAAAACGGGTAAACGATTTTTGGGGACACTCCCTAAGACTGATTCTAGAAGGCAAAGGTTCAAGTTGGGCCCACCTTTGCTATCATAGCCTGGGGGCAAGGAAATGACGTCAGCTACACCTTCCTAATCCCCAGGCCCAGGGCGAGTTCAGTTTCCCGTTGCTAGCAAACCCCGGGGCCCTTCGGGGTCATGCTGGTCGCTTGGCGCAAACAACGTCCAACAAGGCAGAAACTGCTCGTGTTGTGCCGGTTCGCGCTCCAAGCATTCTTCGTCGTCAAATCTCGTATATTCTTTTCTCGTTCATCTCCCCTCCCCAAACACCTTCAGCTGACTTGGCAATGGCTTCCCACCACGAACTCCGGCGAGCGTTATTTCTGGCCTGGAGTTCCGAGATGCGCTTAGCCAGTTTCGCGTATTTGCTCGATTCACAACCTCAGGCTCTTGTCAGTTCTGGAGGATTCCTTTCTGCGAAGCCAAACGCTACTAGTGGTAACCATGCGAGTTGTCGACCGTAGAAGCTTCTGAGCCCATTCACGCTTCCCCTGAAGAGGCTTGCAATCTGTACGCGTTACAAGGCACTCGACAACTTACGCTCGTGACCATGAGGCGTCGCGTTGACATGCGGCTGCGGTCCCTGTCCATTCCGCTAGGCCTCCTTATCCTCTGCCACGTGGCGTCCACGTGTCATGCGGCCTGTGGTCTGCTGCGTCCCTTGGCAGCAGCAGGCGATTCCCCTCCAAGCAGGGAGCTGGAGATGCCGAGCGACGAGGAGGCAACGGCCATGGCGCGATTCGCGGTGGCGCAGCACAACCAGGCCAAGGTGAGGCCGAGGGGAAGCTAGATTCACTCATTCAAGAGGTGGACTCTTAATGACACGCTGGCTGATTGGAAGAGAGGAGAAAACGGCCATGGTTCGAATCGCGGTGGAGCAACACGACCAGGACAAGGTGAAGCGCGATGCACTCTTTCAAGAGATAAACTCTTGATCGCCCACTCAGCGACGAGGAAAGGAATGGCCTGGGCTCGAATCGCGGTAGCGGAGCACAACTGAACGGGCCAAAGTGAGGCAACCAGCTCCTTCCTAAATAGTGATGCCGAATCACCTTCGGTCCCCCGCCCTCCTCTTCTTCTCCCCGTCTCCCTCTCTCCCGTTGCCAGAACGACCGCCTGCGCCCTGAGTCAGTCGTCTTCCCGTCCTCCATTCTCCCCACGCCAGAACGACCGCCTGCACCTGGTGAAACTCATCCTCACACAGCGCACAGGCACAGGCTACGAGAGTGCGGGTGCTACTCCGGGCGCCAAGGGTTACCACCTCTCCCTGGCTGCCCTCAACCTTCTCAACAGCGTCATCGCTTTCCCCCCTTCTCCCCTTCCCCCCCTCTCACCTTCCCCCCTTCTCCCCTTCCCCCTTTCTCCCCTTCCCCCCTTCTCCCCTTCCCCCCTTCTCCCCTTCCCCCTTTCTCCCCTTCCCCCCTTCTCCCATTCCCCCCTTCCCCCTTTCTCCCTTTCCCGCCTTCTCCCCTTCTTTCCTTCTCCCCTTCTCCCCTTCCCCCCTTCTCCCCTTCTCCCCTTCTCCCCTTCTCCCCTTCTCCCCACGCCAGAACGACAGCCTGTACGTGGTGCAACTCATCTACACAGAGCGCACCGACACAGGCTACGAGAGCGCAGGTAGCACCCCAGGCACGACGGATTTCCACCTCTCGCTGGCCGCCCTCAGCCTGCTCACGGGCGTCATTGCCTCCTACGACGCCCACCTGTCGTGGCGACCTCTGGCGGCTGCACAGGCAGCAGCAAGGGCTGCTGCACTCCCAGCAGCAGCAGCAGCAGCAGCAGCAGCAGCAGCAGCACCAACAGCGGCAGCAGCAGCAGGAGGGAAGGGAGCAGGCTCAGCAGGAGAGAACAGCCTGTCGTCCTTCGCCATGCAGGCAGGGTCGCAGCATGCGAGCACAAGGGAGGAGGTGGAGGCGGCGCTGAGGCGGGTGGTGCTGCTGGGGCCGCCGCTGGTGTGTGAAGAGATGCTGATCTACGTTGACCCCAGGGGAGAGGACGTGCAGCGAGTGGCGCGAGGGGCGGTGGAGTCAGAGAACAACAGGAAGGTGCGTGAATTGGCTCTTGTGAGGCTGGTGGTGGTGGTGGTGGTGCTGCTGCTGCTGCTGCTGCTGCTGAAGCCGGTGCCGTGTGACGAGCTGCTGACTCGAGAGGGAGGGCGTGCAGCGAGCGGCACAAGGGGCGGTCACATGTGAGAATGAGGAAGAGGTGATTCAAATGTGCTGTTGGTGGTGGTGGTGCTGCTGCTGGAGCCGGTGCCGTGTGGCGAGCTGCTGATTCGACAGAGGGGTGGTGAGTGAGTGTGTGCTGGAGTAAGGTGAGTCAAGTGCTCGAGGCACAGGAGGTCATTACGAGTAACACAGAATACAACCTCACGCTTCTGGTAGCAGACGAGGCACCCCGCAAGGCAGCACAGTATGCCCCTGATTGTCACCGATGTCACGTCCTTGGCCGCTCTCCCTTCCTCCCCTCCCCCCCTTACGGAACTCCAGCCTGCGCCTGATTTCAGTGCTGGAGGCTCAGAAGCTCATCCCGAGCGACACAGAGTACAACCTCACGCTTCTGGCAGCAGACCAGGTCTCCCAAGTGGCAGCGCAGTATGCTGTGCATGTGTTGGAGACGCCAGGGACAGGCTTCGTCAATGTCGCAGCCTTTACAGTGGTGCGGAGGACGCAGCGGAATCTTACAGACGCAGAGATGGGAGTGGCTGTAGCAGGGGGGTGTGGAGTGACGAATGGGAGCAGCAGCAGCAGCAGAAGCAACAGTGCTCCTGGAAACAGCAGCACCGGTGGTGGCAATAGCAGCAGCAGCAGTGGCGTTGGTGGTGGCAGCAATAGCAGCAGTTTCAACAGCAAGTTCAACAGCAGAAGCAGCGGCAGCATTCAGTGGGACGTGGCAGCAGGGATGGCAGGGGTGTGCATGGATGAGGGGTGGGTGCTCGTCCCTGCTGCTGCCACCGACTCAACCATCCGCCCCCTCGCTCTCTTGGCGCTGCAAAAGGCCAATACGGCCAACAGAGGCGTGCTGGAGTTGACTCTACTGGATGTGATTGCAGCGAAGGCGAGTGTGGTGGAGGGGGCGGGGATCAGCTACAGTGTGACTGTAGCAGCAGCAGCGGTGAATGGAAGCACAGCAACGGCTGTAACAAGGAGTGCAGTCAGTGGGAGCAGGGGAGGGGGAGCAGGATCTAGCAGAAAAGCAGGAGCAGGAGCGACAGCAGCAGGAGTAGTACCGCCGATAACAGCAGGGAGTGCAGCGGAGGAGGTGGTGACACTGAAGGCAGTGGTGTGGCAGCCAGTGCCCTTCACGGCCTACCAGCTGACTGACCTCGTTGTGCTGGATGGGGGGAGTGGTGGGGGGAGAGGGGAGCGGGAGGAGGAACCTTTGCTGATTGACTGTGCTGGCCCACCCCCGGGCTACATCCTCCTCGATAACTGTACAGCAGTGCCAGAGTCCATCCCAATGGTACCCAAGTCTGGTTATCACAGAGCTCCAGGGTACACGGCGTTTCATGTGCTGCTGACCTTGGTTGGGTTTGTGCTGGCCCTCCTGTAGCCAGTTTGATTGAGAGTACTTGCTATGCTAGCCCCCCACCCCCGGTAAGTGTTCTAGAGTCCCACCCAAAGTCTGGCTGGCTGCACCATTGCCATGCTGGTACCGTAATCCCCCGGATATAGGCGCATACCTTTATTTGGCCCACTGGGCTTATGGAGTGCAAGTGCGCCTGTATCTGTTATTTGGTTATAAGCGCACCCTTATTTTTTAAAATGTATTTCGTGTAGCCGCATCTAATTTTTGTAAAAAAAATCAGTGAAACGCGGAATTTTCACATCGAAGTCTAAGCCGTTAATAGTGTAATAATTTGACAGGTGTTGCAGGAGACGAAGTATAGAATCTGCAACCACAAGTACTTAACCAAGAATCTTTACTGGAATGGTAGACTGGTAAGAAAGCGGAAGTCTTATAGGAGTGAACCTGAGCACATGAACTTGTGGGTAGTCGAATGTTGAATAACCTGAGCAGGGCTGATTTTATCAGACTATTTTAGTCTGATTGTCTGAAATTTCAGACCTATTTTTTTGCCGATCCTGATTTTTCAGACTTGCCATTTTCTGAATGCTGAACCCTTCAGACTTATATGTTTTTTAATCCTGAGAATCTCAGACTTCGTAGTTTGCGGATACTGAGTTTTCAGAGCGCAGCGCGTACGGACCCTGAGACACACATACTAGTACTGCACCTCCCTCTCAAAACTAGAATTGAATAATGATAGAGTTAGAGAGTACATGCACATATACCTAAATGTTGTACCCTCTAGGAGGTTACCCTATACAGTCTATACAAACATGATCAATAAACATGTTTGACACACCCCCTGGACTGCATAGGGGAATGTCCTAAACAAGCAGCTCAGGGCGGCACTACTAGTCCAGCCTCTGAGACAAGGGTCTAAAAGACCAGTCAGAAGGAGTACAGACAAGACAAGAACAAGTACAGGGCGGCACTACTAGTCCAACCACTGTGAGAGGACACAAGTCCAGTCTGAGTGTACACATATATATAGGACAGTACAAAGTCAAGGCCCGAGTAAGTGAGGGACTACAGGAACCAGACCAAGCTGTACACAGTGCCGCTGATGATCTTTAGGCGCAAGCGCCTTCGTAAAGATATCAGCTGTGTTGGCACCGGAGGCCAAGTGTACTACGCGAGCCTGGCGACGCTGCTGGAGCTCGCGCAGGAGGAAGTACCGCAGCTGGATGTGCTTCGCTCTACCCTCGAGTCGAGGCTCCTGACACAGGAGGATCATGGCCCTGTTGTCAGCGTACAAGACCGGGGCAGAGCTAGGCCTCTCACCTAAGTCAGTGAGCAAGAAGGTCAGCCAGCGGAGCTCCTGTGCCGCCATGGCACCGGCGTAGATCTCAGCCTCACAGCTGGACTGGGCAACAGACGAGGAGCGGGTAGCTCTCCACGAGACAGCACCTGAGCCAAGGCTAAAGCAGTAGCCCTGGGAAGACCTGAGCGTCTCGGCGTCGTTGCCCAAGAAGCGTCTGTGTGTCCAGTAAGGACCACTGGCCTGCGTCCGCCTAGCACTAACCCCATGCCCGATGTACTTGCAAGATAACGCAAAACCCTCTTAGCGGCAGACCAGTGCTGAGGTCGGTGTCTGCCTGTGGCCACGAAACGAGCCCAGATGCTGAGAGGGTATGCGAGATCTGGGCGAGTGCAAGTCATCAGGTACATGAGGCAACCCACTAGCTCAGCGTAAGGACCACTGGGATCTACCGACTCCTCAGGAACTGGAGCGGAGAGTCTGTGGTCCAGAGGAAGAGGGGTGGGCTGTGCGGAGGAGAACTGAAGGCCGAACCTCTGAAGGACCTGGCGCACCAAGTGTGACTGAGTCAGGGTGATGGTGCGCGCGGCTCTGTCCCTGGAGATCTGCAAGCCAAGGTAACGGCGCAGCTCTCCAAGGTCAGTGCAGGTGTGTCTCTTCAACAGCTCTGCCTTCACGGAGGCCAGTGCGTCCCTGTCAGCTGTGGCAAAGACCAGGTCGTCTCCGTAGACAAGGATGTAGAACGGAGTCGGGCCAGCACGAACGAAGAGCGAGGGGTCTGCAGAGGACGGAAAGAACTGCAGGTCAGCAAGGGTAGCACGCAGCGTGTCGTGCCACTCACGAGGCGCCTGGCGCAGGCCGTAGACTGGACGCCGCAGAAGCCACTGGGTCCCAGGGGGGAAAGTGCCAGTAAAGCCCTGAGGACGACGCAGGTAGACCTGCTCGTGAAGGCTGCCCTAAAGGAAGGCAGTGGAGAAGTCGAGGGAGTGAAGCTCGTAGTCACGCTGAGCCGCTACGTGTAACAGAACCTGAAGAGTAGTCATCTTCGACGTAGGAGCGAAAGTCTGAAAGAAGTCCACCCCCTCGCGCTGACTGAAGCCTCTAGCCACGTAGCGCGCCTTGAACACAGGCGGCTCTCCAGGAGGGCGCTTCACCTTGAAGAGCCAACGGCCATCGACCACGTTCACCCCAGGTGGGGGAACTGCGTCGACGAAGGTGCCGGTGGATCTCTAAGATGCCATCTCCTGTTCCATGGCAGCTATCCACTGAGAGGCCCAGGGTCCCGAAACCGCCTCAGCGTAAGTACGAGGGGTCGGGATGTCGAAAGCGTCTGGGTCACCCTCAGGGACGAGCAGCATGGAACAGAGATGGGGAGCAGCCTCGGACAGGAAAGCAAGCTCAAACTGGCGGTCCTCCAGGACGTCACTGCCGAGGGCAGGAGCACCCCCGACAGACGGAGGACAGGCAGGGTCGGAGACCAGAGCGGTAGCGTAGTCAAGGCGGCGGGTAGAGGCGAAGTCAGCGACCGCAGCGACAAGGGCGTCAAGACTCGACACTGGAACAGACGGGTCTGTAACCAGAGAGGCAAGGACCCGAGGAACAAGAGGACGAGCGGCACGAAAGTAGTCAGACAGAGGAGGAGACGCAACAACAAGAGAGGACAGAGGAGGAGACGGGAGGAGGGGAGGACGAGACACGTGGGACCGGAGCAACATAGGGTGAGAGCGCGGGACGGGGGAGACAGGACGAGCACGGGAGGGGCGGCAAGACCAGACGTGAGAGGGAGGCGTCGGGTCAGGAGACAGAGGAGGGGACACTGGTGGGGAACGAGGGGGAAAACGAGCCGGGGACGAGGCCGGCGGAGGGAACACGGGGCCGTAGACGGGAAGAGGAGGAGACGGCAGGTGAGGAACAGGCGCAGGGTCAGGGGACGGAAGGCCGAGCAGACGGAGGGCGGACACCGGCGGGGACTGCTGCTGCGGCGACACAACACCAACGCCAGGGCCACAAGCTGCGCGACTGCTACCTCCCGAACCCTCCACACCGGCACCCCCAGAAGGGACACCCCCAGAGCACGAAACCCCGCCGGCACCGGTACCACCCCCAGGCCCGCCGGGACAAGCCACGACAGGAGCCCCGGGACGAGTACCCACCTCAACGCCAGCACCCCCAGAGTCCACAAACAGCGGCAGCGACGACTGCGGCGGCGGCGGCGGCGGCTGCAGCGACGGCCGCGACGGCGGTGGCGGCGGAGACGACGGCTGCAACGGCGGCGGCGGTGGAGACGACGGCTGCAGCAGCTGCGGCGACGGCGGCTGCGGAGGCGGTGGAGGAGGAGACACCGTGGGAGGGACAGACGGCGAGGACTGCGCCGGAGGACTACCAGAGTCAGAAGACTCGTCGACCGGGACGACCGACGGGAGGGGGGTGACGTGAGACACACCAGAGGGGGCCGGACGGGGGGCGGGGGGGGGGGAGGGGCAGGGACCACCGGGGAAGGAGGGACCAGGAACAGGGGGGGAGTAACCGGGGGACCACGGTGGGGGAAGCGGCGGTAGAAGGAGACGGACTCGTCAAAGGTGACGTCGCGAGAGTGAAAGAAGCGGTGAGACGGCGGGTGGTAGAAGTGCCAGTCGGACGCGTCAAGGGGGAAACCGAGGAAGACGCAGGGGAGGGTGCGGGCAGTGAGCTTGTCCGTGCCAGAGGCACGAACGTGAGCAAGGCAGCCCCAGACGTGGAACGCAGACGCGTCACCAGGGGACCCGGTCCACAGAAGGGTCGGCGAAACCGGCGGCCGCTGGGGGTGCGGCCACAGGTTAAGCTGGTGAGCGGCGTAGCGCACGGCGAACGGCCACAGAAAATGGGGTGCACCGGCGTGGATCATGGAGGTGCGAGCCACCTCCATGACCAAACCGATGCGTCGCTCAGCGACCCCATTCTGCTGCGGGGAGTCCGGCAGGGTAAACGTCTGGGTGATGCCCTCCGTACGACAGAAGCGACCAAGGACACCTGAGGCAAACTCGCCACCCCGGTCGGAGTGGAGGCGCAAGGCAGGGAGACCGCGGTGGACGCGAGCAGAGACAAGCCAGGGGATGAGAACGTCAGGCACGTCGGCCTTCCGCTCCAGGGGAAAGTCGGTGGTGTAGCGCGTGAAGTCGTCGACAAGCACTAGGAAGAAGCGCTCGCGACGCGGCCCATGGACCGGGGCTGGGCCCCAGACGTCCATGTGCAGAGTCTGCAGTGGTGCGGTGGTAGGGGGAAACGAGGAGGAGTGAGGGGCACGGCGGAGCCGGCCCTCGACACAAGGCGTGCACGGGGGGGCGGGGGAGGAGGGAAACTCGGGGAACGAACCGGGGAGACCAAGGACGAGACCGTGCTGGGACATGTGACGCAGACGCGGGAGTGCAGGGTGACCAAGGCGGTGGTGCCAAAGGAGAGTCGGGTGAGTGAGGGACCGACAGGAGCACGCTGCAGCGACCTGGGTGGACGCAGCGACCGGGGGGGAAGACCCAGCCGGGGAAGTCGCGGTGTCAAGTGTGAACAGGCCGGACACCGGGTCCCGGGGGAAAGTGGTAAGGGGGGCACCAGTGGCGGCCTCGGTACAGACAGCATACCGCTCGTGACCAGGGAACGTAGTGGTGACGCCAAGGTCCTGGAGGCAGCCGACACCAACTAGGTTCCTGGAGAACGAGGGGATATGCAGACCTGTGAGCGAACCTGAAGGAACCGCCGGACAGGGAAGGGAGGTGGAACTGCGGGCAACGACGGGACCACCGGAGGGGTCAGCAAGAGTAACTGCAGCGGGAACAGGCAGCGGCGTCAGCGTCGTGGAGTCGCGGAAGAAACACCGGGAGGCGCCAGAGTCCAAGGTGAAGGAAAGCGCAGCAGTCGCGCGAGGCGGCAGTGAAGCGGTGGAAGCACCGAGGCTAAGCAAAGCAGGAGATCCTACGCCTGACGCAGCAGGGGAGGCTACGACAGGTACATCTACACTAGGCAACATAGGGTAATAAGAGGGAAGCACACTAGAGTCATCAGCATACATTACATGCAAGGCTGCTACAATGGCATCCATGTCCAAGTCAAAAATCTGAATGCTACGCCTAAGCAAGCTGTGCCAGTCCGGGAGGTCGGGCGCCGGGCCAAAGCGCTGACGGAACAGGTCGTCCAGACGACGAAAACAGCGAGGAGTGGAATGACCGATCTTACCGCAAACGAAACCGCGGCGAGGACCGGTCTGGATCTGGTACTGACAGCGCCCGCCTCCAGAACCACCACCCGGCGCACCACCACGCGCACGACCACCACCAGCTCCAGGCCACCCAGGCGGGAGAGCACTCGCCTGCCTCGTCTGCGGCGGCTGCTGCGGCTGCTGCGGAGGCTGCGGCTGCGGCGACTGCTGCTGCTGCTGCTGCTGCTGCGACTGTGGAGGCAGCGGGGCAGCTGGACTGGGCAGGGTCCCCACGTCCGCACTGGCACCGGACGACCCGACTCCACCACCACCCCCACCCGCACCCCCGCCGCCTCCGCCGCTCCCAACCTTGGGGCGGCGGCCCTTCCCCGAGCGGGACTGCATTGCAGCAGCAGTCTCAGCCACAGCGACAGAGCCGTCGGAGAAGGTACACTGAGCGGGGGCACAACCCTGAAAGATAGGGACCGGTACTGTACCGCTCGCCTGGGCGATGGAGCGGTGACGAGTCTCTATAACAGTCAGGGTGTCAACAAAGTCGGTGAGGGTGAGAGCAGCGGGGTGGATGCTAAGGAACTGGTCGCGGGCGGCGGCAAGGCGGTCAGGGAGGCGGGTGGCAAGGAGGTAGAGGGTAGAGGTCATGGGAGGCTGGTGGACTCTAAGCTGTGCATCAGTGCAGGCAGCGCGCCAGGTCTCATCGATCGAGCGCAGGTGGGCAGCGAGGTCAGAGACAGTGGGGAAAGACGCAAGGTCAGGAAAGAGCAGGGGGAGGATCAGGCGACCCACTGAGGCAGCAGGAGGGGTGGAATAGCGCTTGATGACAGCATCGAGGTAGGCCTGGGCGGTAGTAATGGTTCGAAAGCGAGGGCGCTCAGGGGGGGGGAGGGCAGGCTGGGAGACGCGACGGGAGGAGCGGAAGCGGTAGGTGGGGGGGGGGGGGGGTGGGGGTCGAAACCTACGCGTGATACCATCTCAAAACTAGAATTGAATAATGATAGAGTTAGAGAGTACATGCACATATACCTAAATGTTGTACCCTCTAGGAGGTTACCCTATACAGTCTATACAAACATGATCAATAAACATGTTTGACACTCCCTGCCCTCACCTAAGTCCCCAAGGGCCAGAGTCAAGTCCTTTCACACACACCCCGCCCCGCAACCTAAAAAATCTGGCTAAGTCCTAGCAGCCAGAGATAGTTCCCCCCAGCACATTTCTTCCCTACTCGCCTCGCAGCCCCAGAAATTCGACCAAGTCCCCACAGACAGACACATCCCTCCCACACCTCTTGCGACCCTGAAATTTCGGCTAAGTCCCCACAGCAAGAAATATCCCTCCCTCAGCTCCCGCAACCCGGAAAAATCGTCGAAGTCCCTTGCAGCCATAAAAAAAATCCTCCCACAAACCCCCGCAACCCGCAATCCTGCTTATTACCCAACTTTTGTGAAGTTCCTAAAAGGGGTAACAAGAAAATCATTCATCTGGCTGGCGATTTTTTTTATTTTGTTTTTCTGATTTCTCAGACGATGTGAAACTAACTCTGAAAAATCACACTGTCCACGGCTCAATTGAGGGAGTGTTGTTTTCCAACACGACACTTTCAGGCAACTTCGTGTCATTGCTGATTTTGCAGTCAAATTTGCCTGTCAATCACAATTTTGATACAAAGTGTCGTGACGGTGTATCGTGTACGAACAGGCCCCGAGGGGGAGAATTCGAAAAGGAGGGGAGGGGGAATCGAGTTCGAGGGGGAAAGGGAGAGGGAATCAAAACCGAGGGAAGGGGTGAAGCGAAATGGAGGGGAGGGGGGGGGGGGGAAGGGAGGGGGGAACGAAACGGAGGGGAGGGGGGGTGGGGGTTCGAAACGGAGGGGAGGCGTGGAAGCGAAACGGAGGGGGAGGGGGGGGGGGGGGGGGTGGGGGGGGGGGGGGGGGTGGGTTCGAAAATTGAGGGGGAGGGGAGAGGATCGCGCCCCGGTTGATCGATCTTGGACGTTTATCCCTTGCAACCATCGAATGGTTAAAAAACGTCGAAACGATCGCAATTGATCGTGACCGTCACATTTTTATAGAATTTCAGTTGACCAAACGGGCAGCTATCGAGAATTTCGCCTAATAGAAACGACTGTTATTAGAATGCGGAATTTACTCTTAGTCGAATGCAACTTAAAAAAAAACTGAAATCCTCTCTCCTAGTTGCCAGATCAGTTTTTTTTTAACACGCCCTAATGAAAAGGCAATTTTTTGCTAGGAAACTCTGATGAATCCACGTAAATTTTCTTGACGAAAAGCTGATGAATCATGGCACCCTAAAACCAGTCGTGGGGCCTGGTGTGAACACTGGAAATATAAGATTTCGACTTGGGCGCAGGAATTTGAGTCGACATTCTGAACCCTGAGTATTTCAGACTCGTTGACTTTTGGACACTGAGATTTCAGAGTAGCGAAATTTCGAAAAATGGCCCTTCAGGCTCGGGAATTTTTTGGGGGGGCAAAATCAGAGTGCCTTTTTTTGAAACGTCAGCCCTGAACCTGAGCACATAATTCTGTGGAAAGTCAAGGTTAATAATAGAAAGGCATTACAAGGATTTATAGCTCTAGGGAAAGTACCTGTTCGGCTAATTGCGCGCTATGCGACCTATTCGTCATACTATAGGGTCGCAACTAATCGTGTGATTGAAGCGGCTCCTTACGCCTATTCGCATAACTGAAGCGGTACGCTGACGTCATTCCGAGACCCGCGATGCTTTGCTGACATCATCACTCAGACCTGTTTCTTTACCGAGAAACTCGATACTGCTAACTACACCAAAAACGGAACTTGCAGGAATGCAAAACTTCATTTATCACAACAATTACGAGAAGGGTTTAGCTAGGCAGGAAGAAAGTGGCGAGAGAAAAGAGACTAGAAAAGAGAGAGGTACAAGAAGGGGATTGTCCTCTACAGTAACATCCAGAACTGTAATGCATCTACCTAGCCTACACACATATAGATATACACAAGAGTCGACTAAATCGTCTTAGGGTTGCGGAGCTATTTTTGTTTTTTTTTTTGCAATTTTAGGCATGTGATTTTTCATTTTACATTACGATTATGACTATTACCATTTGATGCGATGCTATTTTACAGTTGTGAATGAAGTGCTAGTATACATCGTTTGTATGAATTGTTTTAATAGTGCATCTCATTATTTTTTCCAGGTTTGACACAGCCAACTCTAAAATTGAGGGATAAACAGTGCTTCCTAGAATTGAACGCGGGTCGTCTGCATGAATCACCCACCTACTACCCATTACGTTAACTAGAATAGACATAATGTGAATCTAAATAAAACATTGTTTTTTACTTGCGACGAATCAAACGCTCCTAGGGTTCTGCCCTCTTTTCTAGCTTCCTTATGCTCGTTTCAGCCACGCCACCTCGCCACCTAGATTCCTACCCAAGGCAGGTAGTTCTATGGGTTCATTTTTCTCTTTTCAAAATCGTTTTTTCGTCTCTTCTAGTGAGGGGTTTCAATTCCGGGATTGACGGAGGGGAATGGCGGCGGGATTGACGGGGGGAATGGTGACAGGATTGGCAACGGAATTGACGGGGGATTGGCGAGGGCGGCATTGATGGCGGAATTGACGGGGGGGGGGGGGGGAGGGGCGACGGGGTTGATTAGGGGATTGGCAGGGACTCTCTCTCGCTCTCTCTCTCTCTCTCTCTCTCTCTCTCTCTCTCTCTCTCTCTCTCTCTCTCTCTCTCTCTCTCTCTCTCTCTCTTTCTCTCTCTCTCTCTCTCTCTCTCTCTCTCTCTCTCTCTCTCTCTCTCTCTCTCTCTCTCTCTCTCTCCCTCTCTCTTTCTTACCATTTTCTCTCTCTTTCCATTTGTTGAACCTCTATTTGATACGTCGTTCGTTTCTTCAATCCTCATTTCCATTTCCCGTGTGCTACCTTTAAACTTGTGTTCGTGTTCATTTTTTTCTTATTCTCGCATTCTCCCACTTCTCCTTTCATACATTAGCCCACTCACTCATTCTCTTTTATTTTTTCTCTCATTCTCCTATTCACTCTCATTCTCGCATTCTATCATTCTCTCATTATCTGGTTTTCTGATTCTCCAATTGTTCCATCCCTCCCTCATTCTTTCATTCTCTAGTTTTTTCAATTCTCTCATTTTCTCAATCCTCCCATTGACCATTCTCCCATATTCTCGTTCTCTGGTTTTCTGATTTTTTCATTGTCTCATTCTCCCGTAGATCATTCTATAATGCTCTTGATATCGCATTCTTGTATTTTCCTACTCCTTTCACACATTAGCCCACTCACTCATTTTCTAGTTTCTTTACGCTCTCATTCTCCCATTCACTCCCACATTCTCTCATTGTCTCATCCCTCATTGACTCATTCTCCCATTGTTCCCTCCCTCCCTCATTTTCTCATTCTCTACTTTTTCGATTCTCTCATTGTCTCATTCTCCTATTGACCACTCGCTCATTTTCTAATTCTCTCATTGTCTCATTCTCCTATTGACCACTCGCTCATTTTCTAATTCTCTCATTGTCTCAATTTTCGCATTGACCATTTTCTCATTTTCCGGTTTTCTCATCCCCCCCTCCCCCACCCCCACCCCTCTCTCCATCTCAACATCTCTCGTCCCATTTTCTTACCCCTGCCTGATAAGTCGTTCATTTCTTCAATCCTCGTTTTCATTTCCTGTATTCTACCATGTCTTGTTTTCTCAATTAACTTGTATTCTTTTTTTCTTCTTCTTTTTTCCACGTGTGTTGGTGCGTCAGGAATGCTTCAGGAAGTGATCTCTGGTTTCCAACAATGGTTTTTATCTAGAATAACATGTTTTAAAAGAGACTAGAAAAGAGAGAGGTACAAGAAGGGGATTGTCCTCTACAGTAACATCCAGAACTGTAGTGCATCTACCTAGCCTACACACATATAGATATAAAAAATATACAGATGTTAACACACCCCCTAGGCTAGGTAGGCGCTACTCACAGAGGCAAGAGCTAGGGCAGCACTACCATACACCCAGCACCCCCATACCCAGCCGCAGCTGTGGGATGCTACAGCGGGTCGACCCCTCGGCGGGAGAGGCGGCGACGTCAACGGCGGGGGCAGCGGCCTTTTGCGGCGGAAGCGGCGGAGACAGCGGCACCTGCGGCGGCGACGACGGCGGCAGTGGCGGCGCCCGAGGCACCCGGCGGCGTGGCATCGGCCCTGCTACGACGGGGGACGACGGCACGAGACCGCTAGCAGCTGCGGCGGGGAGGAGGGGGGGGATCTTCAGCGGCGACGCCAGCTGGCGAGCTGGCTGGCATGGGGGCGTGCTGGCTGTGGCTAAACCAGCGTGCTGGCCGCAGCCGTCCGTGCGCTGGCGCGTTGACGCCGCCATGGCAGCACATCGAGGCTGCCACAGCAGCACGAGGAGGCTGCCACGCCAGCGCGTCGAGGCCGCCACGGCAGCGCATCGAGGCCGCCATTGCAGCACAAATAGGCCGCCATGGCGGCGCGAAATTGAGAGGAGGCGAGAGAGTATGCTGCGGAAGCGTGAGGACTAGGCTTAGCAGGATCAACCTGTCAACATATATATTACATATATATAGCTGTAATATATATTACATGTATATTACAAAGTACTTGTGCTTGCTGTAGAGGGGACATCTCTACCCTTGTTCCCCTCTCTCTTCTCTAGTGATTCTCTTTTCTCTAGCTAAACTCCTCCTACCTAGCTAAAACCTCTCGTAACATGGTTTCAGAGCAGGAGGTCCATCCTGCTGGGCCTTCTCACCACGCTTCTGCAGCTCACTCGCGATTCTCGACTATCTTTTCTCTCGTCAAATTCCTCTCCTAGCTAAAACCCTTACACCACTCTATGGCCGCCTAGCGTTCTTAGCTTAACATGGTAACAGAGCAGGTTGCCCTTCCCGGGCCTGCTCCCCACGCTTCCGCCGCGTACTCGTACTTCAGTCGCCAGTCCCGCTACTTTTGTGCCGCGGTCGCGGCCATGCTGCGTTGCAGTGACGGCATCGTGGTGCTGCCGTCGCAGCCCCGATGCGTGGCGTCGATGCCACACCGCGGCGACGGCATCGTGCTGCCGTTGCAACGTCGACGTACCGCCGCGGCATCGACGCCGCGCTGTGGAGGCGGCGTTATGCTGCAGTGGCAGCGTCGACGGGCGGCAGCGGGCCGCGTGGCGTCTCAGGCGCCGCCGGTCCTGACGCCCGCATGCCAGCCACGGGCGTGTTGCAGAAGCCCCACCCCCCCTTCCCTGCGTCCCCTCTTCCTCGCCGCAGCCGATGGCTGCCTCCCGCTGGCCGTCCCACCGTCGCGGAGCCCGGCCATGCCACCGAGTGCTGCGAGCCCCGCCGCCGCCACCGCCGCTGTTGTCGAAGCCGCCGCCGTTGCCGCTGTCGTAGCTTGCGTTGGGGCCACACCGCCGCCGCTGTCGACGCTGCCGCTGTCGCCGCCGCAGCCCTTTCGGCTACCAAGCCTAGGGGTTGTGTGAAATTATATCTTTGATATATAATTGGTAGGCTTGGTAGGTGTTACTGAAACTTACCGTAGAGATACAACCCCCCTCGTATCCGTCTCTCTTCGATTCTCGACTATCTTTTCTCTCGTCAACTTCCTCTCCTAGATAAACCCTCATGCCACTCTATGGTCGCCTAGCGTTCTTAGCTTTACAAAAAGTTCCACGAATTGTCAGTAGAAGTAACCCCCGCCCGTCTCAGAATGTTTTCCCGCCCGCGCCAGCCCAATTTCGTCATCATTGTGGCTGGCGCAATATTTTTCCTGAGCTCCAGGCGAAGTTCAAGCAAAAATAACGCAAAATGCCCAAATTAAGATTCATTGGAAATTTGTTAGTCGAGAAACACGTAAACACGATTTTGTTTCGAAGCACATACTTTTGTCAGAGAGGGTAGTGCGTCCCGCGATGACTAAAAATGGCGGCTTTGTCTCTACCGCATTTATGGCCCCCAAAAATGGGCAAGCCATAAACTTGTTATTCTCGAGTCGCCCGAAAGCAATAACATATATAGATAGTTACAAGGGTATATTTTTGGGAAATGAATATGTTTAAAAGCATGTCAAGGTACTCTCAGAACAACATTTTTTTTTTAAAATAAAATAAATTTCAATGCAACAAATCTATTAGAAATCTGTCGGTTGTCTTTTGTTTCTTCCAACAAATGAATTTACCGGAAAAGTTTTCCGCCGAATTACGAATCTACGTGTCTTGTTATGCTTGAAGCAAATTAGCGCACGCGCACTATAATTTAATGTGTCACACATATATTTGTATATTGTTATAGGCTACACAGGGTTGTTCCTTAGAGAGTACAACCCACTAGGTTATATTCCCTTGTACGCCATGGTTCTACTCATTCGTTAACTTTGACATGGTATCATGAGTAGGTTAGATCCCCCCCGCCCACCAGCGCTTCCGCCATAGGTCCTATCCGCCCCGTTGCCCTCCCGCCCGTGCTGGCCCGTCCCCTAGTGGCCCCTGTCGCCTAGCCAGCCCCGTCGCCTAGCCGGCCCCGTCGCCTAGCCAGCCCCGTCGCCTAGCCGGCCCCGTCGCCCAGCCGGCCCTGCCGCCTAGCCGGCCCTGTCGCCTAGCCAACCCCGTCGCCTAGCCGGCCCCGTCGCCCAGCTGGCCCCACCGCCCAGCCGGCCCAGTCGCCTAGCCGACCCCGTCGCCTAGCCGGCCCCGTCGCCCAGCTGGCCCCGTCGCCTAGCCGGCCCTGTCGCCTAGCCGGCCCCGTCCCCTAGCTGGCCCCGTCGCTTAGCCGGCCCCGTCGCCTAGCCGGCCCCGTCACCTAGCCGCCTAGCCGGCCCCGTCGCTTCGCCGCCCGTGTCCCCGTCTCCTAGCCGCCACGCGGCCCTGTCTTACAGCTGCCACGCGGCCCCCGTCTCCTAGGCGCCACGCGGCCCCGTCGCCTAGCCGTCTGCGACCCCGTCTCCTAGCCCCATGAAGCCCGGTCGCGTGCCCGCCACCCGGCCCCTGTTGACCAGCCGCCCCGCGGCCTCGCCGCCCAGCCTCCTCGTGGCCCAGTCACTCAGCTGCCCCTGCGGCTCCCACCTCGCTCCAATGGCACTTTCCACCACACTGAACCCCACTCCACCGCCCTCCACCGCCCTGCACCGCACTGCACCGTCCTGCACCGCACTCTACCACAGTCTACCGCACCGCACCACATCGCACCGCACACCACTGCTTCCCGCCGCACTCTGTCGCTCAGTCCAGCCCACTACCGCCTGTCTGCTGCTGCAGCGACCATGATGGCGAACTCGGTGCTGCGCTTTGGCGCAGAGGATCAGCCGGTTGAGTTCGACATGTGGCTCGTCGACCTCTGCCGTCACCTCACTGGTTAGCCGCAGGATGGCCACTCCCTGGCCGTTCACATCGACAGTACGCTCCCCTGCCCTGACCCCCCTGCTGCTCTACCCACTGACCCCACGTCTGCTGACCGAGAGTCCACTGCCACTGCTGTCCTTGCCCGTGCTGTCTGGTTGTTGCGTAACGCTATTGCACAGCTCGTGATTAGTCATGCCCTCCCCCTGTGTGAGCGCTCTCGCTTTAGGTCAGTCAGGACTGCGCAGGAGTTCCTAGAGGCTGTTGCCGCGCTTTATTCCACCCCGCCCTCTGCCTCCGTCGGTCGCCTAATCCTGCTCTTTCCTGATCTCGCGTCTTTCTCCACTGTCGCTGACCTGGCCGCCCACCTTGCGCACGCTAGACACGGCCTGGCGCGTTGCTTGCACTGAGGCCCAGCTTCGTGTGTTTCAGCCCCCCATCTGCTCTACCCTCTACCTGCTTGCCACCCGCCTCCCTGATCGCCTTGCTACCGCCCGCGATCACTTTCTTAGTCTCCACCCCGCTGACCTCACCCTCCCTGACTTTGTCGCCACCCTGTCTGCCATAGAGAC